TTAAGAATTTATTGGATTAATAATTTAAAATTGTATTACTTTGTATTTAAATTTTAATTTTGTAGGACCTCGATATTGCCCGTCATTGGAAGCTAAATGTTTGCGTTTTCCTGAATTAAAGCATAGAGTAATTTTTATTTAGAAAAAAAAATTTTTAAAAATTTTTAAAGATTTTCCTTGAACCAGAAGGTTTGGATAGCGAGTTGGTTTACCCTCAAGGATGCGCTCTAGGATTTGATTTGGATGTTCAAGTTAAAATAATGAGGACAGTGGAAGGATTGGAAAATGTTGAAGTTACACAACCTGGTTTTTTTTTTGAATTTTTTTGAAAAATTTTTGAAAAATTTTTTTTTGAAAAAATTTTTTTTTGGATTTTTTAAAAATTTTCTAGAAATTTTCTTGAAGTTTTTTAAAAATTTTTTTGAAATTTCTGAAAATTTTTTAGAAATTTTTTTGAAATTTTTTTGAAAATTTTTGAAATTTTTTTCTTAAAGGTTATTCTGTCCGTTACAATTTTGTTCATCCTCAACAACTCTTCCCAACCTTGGAAACCCAAAAAGTTTGTGGTCTCTTTTTGGCAGGACAAATAAATGGAACTACGGGGTATGAAGAAGCTGCAGCCCAAGGTTTTTTTTTTAATTTTTTTTAATTAAAAAAATTTTTTTCTAAAGGTTTAATCGCTGGAACAAACGCGGCAGAAAGAGCGGAAGCAAACAAAAAAGGAGATAAGACGGCCTATAATCCTTTAAAGGTTTCAAGAACAGAGGCATATATCGGTGTAATGATTGATGATTTGACTAATTTTGGGGTAACTGAAGCTTATAGAATATTTACTTCTCGGTCAGAAAATCGGCTGGAGTTGAGGTTTTGTTAATTTTTTTGGTAGTAATGTCGTTTATGTCCTCCACTCTTTTCATAATTCTCGAAATTGTTCGACAATTTTTTTGGTAATAGTTGAACAATGCTACATGTCTCTAACTCCTTGCTACATGTCTCCAACCTTTATTGACTTTGAGCCCTCGACGTCTTGTCTGGTCCCCTCATTTTTGACATCCCATACATTGAATTTATTGTTACACAAGCACAGTTTTTCATGTAAATATGAAGGAATTTTTGGTGGTAGAAATGGAAGGGGGGGGGGTGAGGGGGGGCATGAACGGCAATATTACCGAACAGACCTGGTCACGGATACTGACTTTGGTATCCGTATCCGCATATTTACGGCGGATACAGGCGGATATCCGCAGGCATTTTGATAATATCTGTATTCATATCCGTATCCATGACCAGGTCTGTTACCGAATTTTAAACCATTTTCCCATTTTTTTCTTACAGACCAGATAATGCTGACTTACGTCTGACTGAAAAGGCATACAAAAAAGGCTTGGTATCTGATCATCGCTGGTCACATTTTAAACAAATGTGTTCTCGTCTAGAAGTACTTGATGAAAGGCTAGATTCTATACGTTTTACTTCTGATGGATGGAATGCGAAAATTGAAGGGTTAAATACTCCTGGGAAAACTGGCCTAAGTTTGTTTTAAATTTTTGATTAAATAAAAGTCGGAGCTCTATATAAGATAACCTCTGAATTAACTTATTATTAGCTTAACAATAAGATAAGCTTTTTAAATTAGGTTGACCACTGGGTGGGGGTAACCTGGTCTAATCGATATTCCTGTTTAAAACATAAGATGCCAGTACTGGGTATAGGACGGGGGTTTTCAAATTCCTGGCTCCCGTTCCGGTGATTTTCGGAGCCGCTCCTTATTGATTTCGGCCCCCAAGTCATCGTGGGATAGTAAAGCAGAGCTGGGCTATAACTATTTCTCTCCTTTAGCTAGTGCAAAAGGTTAATCGGCGGTTAGGAGTGAACCAGCATCTTTTTCATCCCAAAGGGTTTTCTTATGTTGAGGTCCGATTCTAACTCATTACAAAATATTTTTCAATTTTTTTAAGTTTATTCTGCAAAGAAATTACTTGTAAAACATCCAGAATTGAGGCTAGAAAAGCTAGCAAATGTATGGCCTTCCCTCTTCAACGAATTTCTCGGGGAACGTTTACTTTTGGAAAGAATAATAAATAAACAACGTTATTTACATTTAAATAAAGAATTGAGAGTTAGAATAGAAAAATTAGAAAAAGAAATGAATACAGAAATACCGACAAATTTAAATTATTTGGAAAATGTTGAAATTAAGGCAGAAGTGAGGGAAAGATTAAATGAAGTTAAACCGAAAACTTTGGCTGCTGCGGCCAGGTTTGTTAATTTATAAATTCTGATTTGTTAAAATTCTGATTTTTAAAAAAATTCTGATTTTAAAAAATTCTGATTTTTGTAAAATTCTGATTTTTTTAATTTGCAAATTCTGATTTTTAAAAAAATTCTGATTTAAAAAATTCTGGTTTTACTAATTCTGATTTGCCAAAATATTCTGATTTTCTAAGAAATTCTGATTTTGTAAAGTTCTAATTTTACTGATTCTGTTTTTAAAATTCTGATTTTCTGAGGAATTCTGATTTTTAATTATTTAATTTCTTATTAAAAAATCAGAATTTTTTTAAAATAAATTCTGATTCTTTTAATTCTGATTTTCAAAAAATTCTGATTTACTAATCTGATTTTTTAATTCTGATTTTTAATAATTCTGACTTTCCAAATTCTACAAATTCTGATATTTTTTAAATTTAATTTCAGAATTTCTGGTGTAACAGATACAGTTCTCTTCACTTTATTACGTTATGCAAGGAATACTTTAAACAACAACAACAATGTTTAATAAAATGCAATGTTATATTTTAATTAGGATTAAAAACAAAATTGTTTGCTAGGAAAAAAAGTTGTTTTTTTTAATTTTTTTATTTTTAAAAATTTAATTTTTCAACAAAAACCTCAATTTTTTGAATAAAAAATTTTTTATTAAAACTAAAATTATTTTTAAAATTCCAAAAAAAATTTTTTTGGAATTTATTTAGGTATTTTTAGAATTTTGGACTTAAAATTAGTGTAAAAAATTAGGGAGGGCTCTATTTTTCATTAAAATTGGCTAACAAAATTATATTCACAACAACAATAAAAACGTTCATCAACACAGTTGTTGTTTTTCTCAATAAATTTTAATTTTTGGTATTAAACTGACCTTTAGTATAATTGTTTTTAGAAAGAGGAGAGGGGTTTTTTGGTATAATCTTTGATTTTTTTTGCAATTTTTTATTTATTAATCACCCTAAAAAATAAATTTTAATAGAGCACTATTTGTGTGTCATTGTTTTAGGAAAGAATTATTTTTAAAGAAAATTTTTTAGACAAAAAAAATTTAAGAAAATAATGAACAATTATAAGCATTTTACCCTAATACATTTTTTATTATTATTCAAGAGTTAATTGTTTCCAGAAAAGTTGTTGTTGTTGTTGAAGGTTAAAAGAAAAAAATTTTGGGGTGTTTCGTCAAAATTTTCGTTTTTAGGTGTTTTGAAAACTTTGATTTTAGATTATTTGAATTTTTTGGGATTAGTTTACATTTTGAAATATTTCGCGTTTTTTTTTGGTTTGAATTTTTTTGGTTGTTTTTGTTTTTCTCAAAGCATCAAAATTGGGTATTATTTTTTTAATTTTTGATTCTTTAGAGGTTTTTTTTATCATTAAAAGGATTTGTTTTTCTTCTTTTTTAGTTTTTAGAAAAGAACAATTTTGTTTTTGTGGTTTTCTCAGTTTTAGCCTACTTTCAAAAAAAATAAAAGAAAATGTCTACTAATAGAATAGAACAACAAAACAGATTAACAATTTATTTAAATTCTAAAACAACACAAGATTGCGAAGAGGAAAATTTACAGCAACCAACAAATGGCCAGGTTTTTGTTGAAATTTTTGTTTAAGATTTAAATTTTTTAGGAGTTGAAGTCGACTTATTTTGGCAGAGCGAAGCTTTTTTTCCGGAAATATTTTCTTCAAGGTTTGTTTTATAAAATCTGATAAGCTGTCCCGCAGAGATTTTTTTACAGCAACCAACAAATGGCCAGGTTTTTGTATTATCTTCAAGCTTGGGCTTGAAGATAATAAAGTTTTTTGACAGGGATCCGATAATGACAACAAAGATTGAGATTTTTGAAAAGCCTGGGCCTGTTCCTGGACTCTGGATTTGGTTTATTGACCTGGACCTGTCCAGGAAAAATTCAGGAAGGTCAAAAAATACCGGGGCCTGGACTCTGGTTACAGGAAAACCTAACTCACCTTCCACAATGCTCCGTATTTTGCCAAGTGTTCCGGACTTATGTAAGCAGTCTTAGAGTAAACGAGACATCAAATTTTCTATTTTTACTGTTCCCCAGTTCAGCACTTGCCGAGTTTCCATTTAGGTTTAAGATTTTTCTTACCTTCCATTTTTTAACTTCAATCTCTCGCCTAGCCTCCCTCTATAACCAATTTTTGTGTTTCCTTCCTTCCCATTCGTTTCCTCCGAAAATTTCTTTTACAAATTTACTTTTTATTTTATTCAAGGCCAATTGTACAGTAACGAAGTGTGCTCTGACGATGATGAAGAAGAAGTTTTGGAGGATATTTTTAATCGTTACAGAAAATATATTGGATTTTTACTTCCTTGTCTTTTTATGCAGGTTTATTTTTTATTAAATGGGGGGTTTTAGAATAGAAAGGCGGAACTATTAAGTATTTGATCGCGAAGACATTTGTAAACATGAATTCGAGTAGTTTATTAGTGTGGTGTTTTTCCAAGACAAGTTCACGCTAGAGAGATGGGCACAAAACCGTCAACTCCAACTTCAGCCATGTTTCAGAGCTCAGTTCTAGGCAATTTTTGTGGTTTTAGGTTTCTTGGTTAAAACGGATGAGACTATGATTTTTAAATCTTTTTTTTTGTCTAGAGTTAGACTAAGTTATTTTGCTTTACTAAAATTTACGTAAAGGAATCCCCTCCCCCCTTCAAAAAATTCTTCAGACCTCAGTCTGCGTTTAAATAATAATTTCACTTTTTTTAAAAGATTATGTGGTGGACATTAGCCTTTCGTTACAACTTTTTCCGCCTCTTCCCCACTCACTACGAACTTCCACTAACAATGGTTGTTGGGGCAACTGTGGCTGGAATGACTTCAGAAGGTGGTGGGGCTGTTGCATTTCCGGTTATGACACTTTTGTTGCATATTGAAACTGAAGTTGCGAGGGATTTTTCTTTAATGGTTCAGTCTTGTGGTTTGTTGAAAAAATTTTTAGGAATTTTTAGGAAATTTTTTAAAAAAATTTTAAAAATATTTCTTACTTTATAGGAATGACTTCTGCTGCGTTCACAATACTTTGGATGAGAATAAAATTGGAATGGTTTTTTTTTAATTTTTTTTTGATTAAAAAAATTATTTTTCGAAAGAATTTTTGTAAAATAATTTTTTTTTTGAAATTTCAAAAATGAAAAAAAAAATTTTCAGAAACATTTTCAGCCTCAAAATATTTTTTAAAAATAAATTTTACTTACAAATTTTTTTTAATTTATCTTTAAAAGGCACGCAATAATTCTATGTACAATTGGTTCAACTGCTGGAATTATATTTGGATTGGAATGGGTTGATTATTTATTGACTGGTTCGGAAAAGAAAATGTAAAGGGGGAGATTTTTTGAGAATTTAAAAAAAATTCTGAAATTTTTGAAAATTTTTCCAAATTTTTCAAAATTTTTTGAAAATTTTTCAAAATTTTTTTCAGGTTATTTGTCAGTATTTGGTTTTCTTTTGCAATTTCTCTATACGTTTTAAACACCCAAAAGAAGAGAAGAACACATTCTGGTATTGTAAAATTTAATTGGTGGAAGGCTTTAATTCTTTTTGTTGCTGGATTTATTGGAGGTTTTGTTTATTTTTATTTTTTTTGTTTAAATATAGAGAGAGAAAGAGGGTTTTAGAAAGGGGTATTTTTAGAAAATCAGAATTACTATAAAAACCAGAAAATTTTTTAATCAAAAATAATCATTAAAATTCAGAATTTTTACAATTTTATTAAATCAGAATTTAAAAGAGACCAGAATTATAAATTACATAAAACTATATTTATAAAAACAGAATTACAATTTTTAAAGATTAAAAGTCAGAATTTGAGTTTTTATTTTATAAAAATTTATTTTTTCTTCTTTCAGGACTTTGCAGCGCTTTTGCAGGCTCTGGTGTTGATATTTGTGCATTTTCTGTTTTAACACTTTTGTTCAGGCTTAGCGAAAAAGTAGCTACTCCAACATCGGTTTGAAAAAAATTTATTTTTTAATTTTTTAAAAATTTTTTTAGGTTGTTCTAATGGCTGTAAGCTTTTGAATATTTTTAAGAATTAAAAAAAAAATTTTTTTGGAGGCAAATACTTGTGTTGGATTTTTCTGGAGGCATTTAATTATGTCTGAGGTGTCTACTCTTGCATGGTTTTTTTAAATTTTTTTTTAATTAAAAATTTTTTTTCTTTTTTTAAAGGAATTATTTCACTTGTTCAGGTTTACTCTTTAAATCAAAAAATAATTTTTTTAATTTTCTAGTCCCTGTAGTTGTTTTATTCGCCCCGTTAGGCTCTCTATTAGCCTCTCATTTTCATCGTTTGGTTCTAGCTTCATTTGTTTATGTATTGGAAGGACTTGCTTTGCTTGGATTTTTGGCTACTGGTCCAGAATGGAGATTAATTGGAATTGGAAGTGTTATTATTTTTTGCAGGTTTTTTTTTTAATTTTAAATTTTATGGGAAGTTGTGGGGATTGTTTGGATATTTTCTTTTTAAAAATTATTTTTGGGAAAATATTAAAATGTCTTTTGACACTTATATAACTAGGCTTAATGTTTCTTGAGAATTTTCGGATATCCAGAATCTAACTGAAGGATCGAATCGATAAATCCTGGGGTTTCTTCAGCTAGATTCCACCAGAGGTGGGTCATAACAGCCCGAGGTGTCGGAAATCGGAATTGGCTCAAAAGTCGGAACTCGAAATCAAAATTTTTTTTCGGGCAAAAACGTCGGAAATCGGAATTTCGACCCACCTCTGGATTCCACGACATAACTTAAACTTTCTTTTAATTTTTATGGCCTTGTTACACAGAATTACCCAGAACCTAGATATTTTTCGACCCGAAACTCAATCTGAGAAATTTTCTCAATCCGTTCCATCCCTGTTTACAATGAATTCCTTACCTGTTTTCAAATAACCAACAACATTTTCTTTTTTTCTAGTTTTTTCTTTTTCCTTGCTGTAAGTCGTATTGGCTATTGGTTAGATGAAACTGAAAGAAAAACAACAGCAACAACCAAATTGAATGGAAAAAATTGCGGGCAAATTAAATCAAAAGAATCGAAGACTATTAGGTTTGTTATACCTGAAAAATGATTTTCTTTTGGAAATTAGGTTTTTCTTTTTAATTTATTTTTTTTAATTTTTCCAAGTTTTGATAACTTAACCTGACCAATAAGGGATGTTCCTTCCAAAAAAGTCCGAATTTTTTTCTTTCAACTTTTTCAAAAATTTTCCAAATTTGAACTAAATTTTTTTGTCCTTTTTTTTTATTCAGTATTCCTCCCGTTTTCATTTTTGCATATTTTTTCTGTGTCTTTGTGGTTAACCTCCGAATTCTTTAAAAATCAGGCCCAAGATCCGTTTAAATTAGTTTTGACCTTTTTGGTACAATCTCTAGTCCTGCTAATTTGAAGAACTCAAAATTTAAAACTCCCATTTTAATTCCATATTTTCAATTTTTCTTTAAAAAAAAACTCGATTTGCAACATTCCTTAGTCATGTGAATTATTTGAGAGTTTGCCCTTTAACTCCTTAAAATAATTTTTTATTTATTTCTAAATTATTTTAAGTCAAAACCAGACTTGGTAATGGATTTTGGTATCCGTATTCGGATATTTACGGCGGATCAAAATTCGCAGGCATTTTGAACTTAATGTATCTATCCATATCCATTACTATAAGTAAGCCTGGTCAAAACTTGCCATTTTTCTTGTCTACTTTTTTACCCAAAAATTTTTTTATTTTTAATTTTCTCAATTTTTTTTCTGTGCAATATATTATTTATTTACATACAAAAAATGCTTTAAAAAATATCCCCCAATCGAAAATTCATATTTAAATAAAAAATATTTTTAATGGGTTTGTATAGGGGGAGAATAATTTTTGTATGATTTAACTTTTATAGGGGGCCCGCTTTTCCTCAAATTTTTTTTTTCATTTTTTTTCTTGCTTCTTACCAATCGCGGCCTTTAAAATAAATTTATTTTTTTATTTTTTTCTTTAAATTTTTATTGCTCAGTAATTCATTTCCTTTAAAAAAAATTTATTTTTTTGATTATTTTTGCTTATTTATTCCCTTTAAAACTTAAAAAATTTAATTTAAAAATGTTCACAAAGCCGTTGTTGGGCAAGTCATAACCGGAGATTGTTTATATTTTATTTAAAAAAAGCATTGTTACATCCTCGGTTTGTCTTGGTCAACAACGTCCTAAACATTCTTGTTCTCTATTTATTAATGATTCACAAACGACAGAACTACAATTAAAATGTTTTGTGAATCAAATCAACAACTGACCATTTCGAAAAATATTTTTGTCTGCCTTTAGATTGTTCAGTCGACAATTTACAAACAAATTTTACTGCTGACCGTTTTGAAATTATTTGTTTCTGACCATTTTGAAAATTTTTCAACTAGATGGAATTTTGTCCTGTTTTGAATTATGAGTCGTTTTGTCGCATTTATGACGAAGTCATTTTGTCGCGTTTTTAACTATGAGATATTATGTCGCGTTTATAACATGTAGTCATTTTGTCGCATTTATAACTAGGATGCATTTTGTCTGTTTTGAACTATGGGATGTTATGTTGATGTTGTAACGAGGAGGCGTTTTGTCGCATTTATAATTAAGAGGCATTTTGTCGTTTTTAAAAAATTTAAATTTTTATTTTCCAAAAAATCGATATCAATCGATAAAATCGATACTAATCGATAATTAATTTTTAAAAATTTTTATTTTCCAAAAAATCGATATCAATCGATAAAATCAATACTAATCGATAAAGCCTAAACAAAAATAAATATATTTATATTTAAAATTCATAATTAAGTCTTTGCAATATATAAAAACTTAAAAATAATATGCAGAAATTTGCGAACATTAAGTAGAAAAGGGGGGCTTTTTTCGACCGTCGCCAGTCTTTTTTAATGGACCATTAAAAATGTGTGACAAGCTTCTTACGAGATTTCTTTTTAATTTTCCAACAAAATTTTGTCTGTCACACATTTTTTTAAATCAAAATACAAAGGCACAAATTTAAAATAATTTTTTGAGTCATTTTTTGAGTAGTCCCTTCCTCTTTTAATTAAAGTTGTTCTCCTCCATGTTCTTCATCTTCAAGTATCATTCTTTTAGAAAAAGCAGTTACAGCTTTGTTTACATTAAAAAGTAATTGATGCTTTTCCTGAAAAAATTTTTAAAAATTATTTCTCAAAAAATAAAAAAAATCTCAGACTCAAACTGCCCAAAATATTAAATGGGACAAACTGTCATTTATTTTTTAATATTGACATCACACCAAAGTATGCGTAAATTAAATTATAAAAATCAGAATTTACCTCAGAATTAATTGTTGGGTCAAATTGTATCTGAAAAATAAAGAATAAAATACAGAAAAAATACAAAACTTAAAATTCTGAAAAATCAGAATTTATTTTTAAATTTTGGATTCAGAAAAAATATATCATAATTATAATTCTGAAAATAAAAATGTCAGAATATACAGGCCCAGAATTGCAAAAATAATTCTGAATAAGAAATTCTGAAAAAAATCAGAATTTTGGAATCGGAATTTTGATCAGAATTATTTTTAAAATCAGAATTTCAAACGTAACTAATAATAAAAATTCTGAAAAATCAGAATTTATTTTTAAATTAAAAAAATCAGAATTAATTTTTACCAACTGACGCGTTCCCAAAAGTTTATCACTAGCTTGCTGCATTTCTTTTATACATTCTTGTGCATGCAATGCCATTTCTATTTTTTAAATTTCTCAATTAATTCAGAATTTTTTTAAGAAAACCAACTTTTTGAGCCTGTAGAAGTAAACTGAAATGAAGCCAAATTATTATTTATTTGATTTAATTCTGAAGTAAATGAACGATTACAAGAGGTTGTTGTCGTTATTGATGAATCAGTAGCAACAGAACCACTTCTAAAAAAATTAAAATTAAACAGAAAATTCTGAAATTTTGGGAAGGGATAGACAACACTATTAATTATTTCCAAACAAATTTTCAAAAATTTAGATCAAATAAAACAAAAGTTATAGGCAAAAAATGACCATATTTTAAATAAAATTCTGATATTTTTGACCAGAACTTCTGAAATATGAAACGAAAAATTCTGAAATTTTGGGAGGGAATAGCCAAAAGTATTCAGGGTCTCCAAACGAAATTTCAGAATTTTAGACCCACCTAAGATTATTTTATAGGCAATTATACAAGGTTACTTTGGCAAAAAACGTTATTTAATTACCCACCGGCTAGCAAGTTTTTGTGCCAAATAATTGCTACGAGGAGAATGTGCAGAAAAATTATTTGATGCTGTTGTTGGGGTTAGAGAAGTGGCACTTCTATAAAAAAATTAAAAAAAAATTTCTAAAAAAATTTAAAAACCTTATTCCTACTGGTTGCATTAAATTCATTTTAATATTGGAAGAGGATTCAGTAGACCAATCACCAGGATTATAATGTTGAAAAGAACGAGCACTAATGGACTGTGGTGGTTGTTGTTGTAATTGTTTATCTAACTAAAAAATTTAAAAAATTAAATTTAGGAAAAATAAAAAAAAATTTAATTGACGAAATAGGCTCAACCGAAGTAAAAAAAAAGTTTTAATTAAAAAAACCTTTTTTTGTACTCCACGTCTAGGACCTCCTCTAAATGTAGTTGAAGATGATGAAGAGGAAGGTGGTGTTTCTGTTATTTGATGAGAATTTTCTTTAGACAATGAAGTCAACATTGGTTGAATATCTGGTTCACTAAAAGAAAAGAAGAAAAAAATAAAAAAATTTATTTTTAATCCGCAACTTTAAATCCGCAAATTTTTAATTTTATTTTTGAGTCAAGAATTAATTTACTAAAATATTTTTAAAAATAGAATTTTGGGTCTATAAAAAATAACCCAAAATTATTTTAATTAAAAAATTTTTTTTAAATAGTTGAGGACAAAAATATATTTTGCGGATTTTAAAAAATAAAAAAATATTTTTCAAAAAAACCTTATTCTTCTATTAATATCTTTAATTGATTGTGCCAATCGTTGCCTAGATTCTGCTAATCTATTACTAATTAATTTTGATGAATTTGTGGTATCATCTTCCTTAGGTTTTCCATTTAATAATAATAAATCTGTTGTTGATTTGGCTATTTCTCGTTGATTTTGTTTTCTAAAAAATTATTTGAAATTTTATTTGAATAATAAAAAGATTAAAAAATTTACATATTTCATGAAAAAATTAAAAGAAAAATTTTTATGAAAAAATTAAATATGTAATAGGGAGTAAAAGTGATCGGAAACGTGAAAATAAAGTTTTAAAGGTAATAAAATAATTAAATAAGATTATAAAATCATAAAATTCAAAATAATTATCCTCAATAGTACCAGATAAGCCTTCCCAAAATTTCTGAATTTTTGGTTTCATATTTCAGATGTTCTGGTTATTAACATAAGAATATTTGTACAAATTACCCCATCATTTTAATTAATAACACCCCTCTCCCTTAAAAAATTTCCTTCCTTAAGTAATCATCCCTCATCCTCCCTTGCCTCTCCAAATAATTTTTTTAAATAAAATAAAAAATAACAAAAACCTGTCATCTGTATAATGTAAAGATGTTCTTCTTCTCCCTGTTGTTGTCATCCATAAATTTCCAATAGACCTAGATCTAGATAAAGGCTCTTCTTCTTCATTTTCATCAACCTCTTTATTTTCAATTTTTAAAGAAGCCAAATTTTCTTGTGATTTTTTAAGTCTTTGTCTAGCTTGTCGTAAACGTGAAGAAGAAGAGGAGGGAGAACCACCAACACCATTACCAACAGTTGAAAGGCGTAGTTGATAACGAGAAGTTGTTGAAGGAGAACTACCCGAAAGGACCTAAAAATAAAAATCAGAAGTTTTCTAATTTTTTAGAATTTTCAAAAAAACAAACCGAACGAACAGACGGCGATATAGGCCTAGCTGTTTGGGCTTGAGCTGCTTCAGAAGCTAAGACAGCCATTGCAAGTTGAGAAGGTGATTGAGAACGTGAACGAGGCGGGTGGGATGATGGTGTTTGACGGCCTATAAAAAATAAATTTGTTTTATTTTAAGAACCACCACCGACATTGCAAATTAAAAAATAAAAATACAAAATTTAAGAACAAATTTTGAAAAAATTCCGGAAACCCTAAATCTCATTCCGAAAAAAACATTTAAATTTAAATGTGGATAATCAGAAAAAACATTTGATAATTTTTTTCCGGAATTTTGTATTTTTGATTATATGTATATAAATTTTAAAATAAATTCTGAAAATAATTATGAAAAATTTTCCGAAAAATACATTAAGAAAATTCAACCACAAAAATAGAAAAAAATACACTTCCCCTATAATCCTGATATTTTAACAAAAAATACAAACCTATAGATGGGGGTAAATCAGAATTATTATTATTATTAGCAACAGCCGCAGCAGCCATTCTTCTTTGTTTAATTCTATTTAAAGCACTTCTAGCTCCTCCTCCCCCACCACCACCAGAACCAAATTTAGAATCATCCAAACGAGCATTTATTCCATCTGGAGGAGAATGTCTATAATCATTACTAACACAACCACTTGGAGTACTTGCTTGGCTTGAACTACAAGGACTGTTACTATTTGCTAATAATAATGATGATTGGTGGTTTTGTTGTTGTTGATGATGTGCTATAAATTAAAAAATAAAAATAATATTTTTTGAATAAAATTAAAAAAAATTAAATTCCAAAATAGAAAAAAATACTCGAAAAATAAACCCACAAAATCCAAAAAAGAAAATTCGGGAACAGGCCAACGTCCCGCGAGCTCAACGTACCGCATAGCTATAACTTCGTTCAAAATAATCGAATCCAGGACGCCTTGGTATGGTTCTATGCATCACGTCGAGCTGAATCAAACATATCAGGGCGTCCCGGATTCAACCATTCTGAACAAAGTTATAGTTCTGCGTTACGTTAGCCTCGCGGTACGTTGGGGTGTACCCAAAAAATTCAATTAACAAATAAACCTGTAAAAGACCCATTTTCTTCTCCCCCATCATCTCCCTTATTATTTCCTGAAGTATTAAATAAATTTGAAGAGCGCCTCTTTTTAACAAGCATAGATGTTTTTGTAATATTTTGATTAGGCTTCCAAACACAATTATTTTTGTTATTTTCATTTTCAACATTTGTTTGAAGATAACGTCGAGATAAAGAATTTCTATTGCCATATTCTTGTTGTTGTTGGGATTCTTGTTGCTTAAAAAAATTTTTTTTAAGATTAAAATTTATAATAAAAATTTTTTTTAAATAATTTGATTCCTCTTCAAAAAAATTTTTAAATAAAAACAAAAAAGGAAAAATAAATTGTGACAAATTGTCCACTGGATTAAAAAAAATAAAAATAACTAAATTGTTTAACATAAAAAATATCCAAAAAAAGGAAATAATTTTTTTAAAAGAGGAATCAAAAATATTTCATATTTTGAAAAAAAAGGACCAAAAACACAAAGAAGCAGTCCAAAGGATTCGAACCCACATGTATACTGGCTTGCAGACACAAACACTAACCATTACACCACAACCAAACATTAACCCAAAACAAATAAAATGGTTTAAATAATAAAATAGAAAAGGCTAATTTTGAAGGAACACATAAGGAAAAAAATTATAATTAAAATTAATAGAATATAAAAAAATATTTAAAAAAAACCTTTTCAATCATTCCAGAACGAATAGCATTTAATGAAATAGAATTACCAATACCAAAACGTTGTTGTTGTGAATTATTATTAACAGATAAATAATTTGAATTAACAATATCTTTAGTTAAAGGTTGTTGTTGCTGTATAGGTTGTTGAATTGGTGGTCTAACAGAAAGATACATTGAAGGAGAAGGTGACGAAGAAACTAGAAAAAAAATTTTTTTTTGAAAATAAATTAAATAAAAAACAATTTTAATTTAAAAAAATCGTTTTTGTGATCTATGATTTTTTCCCGTTCAAGTAAGGGAAAAAGTAAGAACAAAAGTGGTTGTTGATAGATGTCAAAAAAATAATTAAAAATTTAACAAGTAAAAATTCATACTTCTTATGTTAGACTCTAAATAGTTCAGAAAAAAAAAGAACAAAAAATATGAAACCCAAAATCCTATTTGTAAATAAAAATTAAAACAAAAATTAAACCTCCTCCTCCATTCTGATTTTGTAAATACATTTGTGTTGGATTCAAAATTTGTTGTTGCTGATGTTGTTGTTGTGTAGCAGCATTATTTACCCCACCAATATTCCATTTACGCCTTTCTCTTGATTGTTGTTGTTGTCCATTAATAATACTTGTTGAATGTAAATTAGACATTGAACGACTATTTTTAGGTTGCTGTAGTTGTTGATTTAATAATAAATTTTGTTGATGTTGTTGCGTTGGATGAGTATATAAAAGTGGAAAATGAGAAAATTGTTGTTGTTGAGATGGAGTATGCTGGAAAAAGAAAAGTTGTATTTTTATGTGTTTTCCGGAAATATTCAGAATTTATTTGTTAAGGTTGTATTTTCCGGAAAGCTTAATTCTGATTTACTAAAACGTATTTTCCGGAAACCTGTAAGATTTATTAATTAATGTATTTTCCGGAAATGTATTTTTTATATATTTTTAAAATGTATTTTTTTTATTTTTTTATGTATTTTCCGGAAAGCTTATATTAACGAATGTGTTTATTTTTCTGAAAATGTATTTTACTAGTGTATTTTCCGGAAGATGTATTTTCTAATATAAATGTATTTTCCGGAAAATTTGTAGAATTTATTAATTTATGTTTTTCCGGAAACTAAAATTTATTTCTTGATGTATTTTCCGAAAAACTTATATTGAAAAATGTGTTTATTTTTCAGAATTTATTTTTAAATATAAAAATGTATATTTTCCGGAAACTTTTCAGAATTTATATATAAAAATAATTTTAAAGGGCGTTTACTTTTATTTGTTGTTGATTATGCTGAAAAAAGTGTTGTTGTTTATTTTGCTGTGGAGTACCAAGATTATTATGCGGATTAGAAACATTTGGATGCTGAGGACGAGTCATTGAAGAGTGAGAAAGCATTGAATTGATAACTGCAAAAATTTTATTTATTTGTATAAATTCTTTAAAAATTTTATTTTTTTGCTAATATTTAAGGAAAAATAAAATTATTATTATTTATTTTACCTTCTCCTCCAATTTCACTTTGCTCCTCCTCTTGTTTAGAAAATAAAATGGAAGCGTCCAATGGGTTCAGTCGTTTAATTTCAAAACTAAAAAAATAAAAAAATAGAAGATAATAATAGTAAGTGAATAAAATTAAAAAGAAAATACATTTCCGGAAAACACAAAATCGAAAACAAATTCCGGAAAATACATTCTAAAATAAATTTTCAGAAGGGCTTCCGGAAAACACAAATTCTAGAATTTAAACGAAAATACATTATCTGAAAAAAAGGTATTTTCTGTATTTTTCTGGAAATGTTTTAAGATCTGTTTCAATGAAATAATAATGTATTTCATATGATCAAAACAGGAAGGAAACTAAAAGGAAGGCATTTAAGCGCAAAAAATTGGTGGTAGTGACAGGCGAAAGAATTTTTCCTCTTTTTTTAAAATTTTTTTTTGTGGTTTCGGTAAATATACCAGTCTTTTTAACCGCATATATCTTTTTTTTTCAATCGAACGTTCATTTTTAAGCGTTATATAGAAAATGTGATGGGGAAAATCGATTGGCCAGCCGATTGGGCTATATAAACAGAAAATAAAAAGGGGAAAAATAGAAGCGATCTTTACAAATATTTTTAAAAAATAAATAAAAATAGAGGAAAGTTCAAGGTCTCTCCTAAAATTGTATTTTTTTTAGTCAACAAAAATTGAAATTTAGAAGAAAAATATTTTTTTATAAAAATATTTTCATGATCAAAAAATCTTTTTTTTTGGTTAGAATGAATCAGACTAAAAAAATATTCTTTTATTCAACTTTAGTTTTATGCATCGATGACTTTTTTCTAACCACTTTTTTTTCGTTTTTTACACATCAGCGATTGATGTATGCGCCAGAAAAATTTAAAAAAAAACAAAATACAAAGAAAATACAAAGAAAAGGAATTTTTGTATTTTTAGAATTTAATATAACGCTTTCCGGAAAAATACATTTAATTCTGAAAATGTTTCCGGAAAATACATTCAATTCTGAAAATGTTTCCGGAAAAACACATTTAATTCTGAAAATGTTTCCGGAAAAATACATTTAATTCTGAAAACCTTTCCGGAAAAATACATTTAAGTTTGAAAATATTTCCGGAAAAATACACAAAAAATACATTTTAAAACCCTTATCGGAAAATACAATAAATTAATTGTTCACAACTTTTCCGGAAAATACAATAAATTAATTGTTCACAACTTTTCCGGAAAATACAATGAAAACAAATTCTTAAAAATATAAAACACATTATGCAAATAATGTATGTATTATATATGTATTTTTTACTTTTGAAAAACACCGCACACTCCACACAAACTTTTAAAAAATATATTTCCCCCTACCTTTGTTGTTGTTTTTTCTGTTGTCCTCCTCGATCTGCTGAGGTAGCACCACTACTTGTTCCTCCTCCTCCACCTTCTCCCCCACCACCAATTCCACTGTCCAATTCATCATCAGCCTCTTGCAGCGTTGAAGGTCTTTTGTTGTTGTTGGCGGCAATGTTTGAAGAGACAGAACTTAGGGAGAAAATGGCTGGAAGTTGTTGTTGTTGTTGTTGTTCTACAAAATTGGCCAAATTTGAAAAATTTAATTGTTCAGAGAGAATATCGTCTGTTGTTGTTTTATTTATTTTTGGGTTGGTAGCAGTTTCTGGGCTTGTGGAACTAAAGTGAAAATTTTAAAAAATTAAGGAAGGGGAAGGATTGGAAGAGATCACTTCCTGTGCTGGGTATTAGGAATTATGTGTCTCCTTCTCCGAGCTTTTTTAAAACCTTGGCTTCGGCTCAGGAGTTAGCTTCCGGCTTCCGGAACTCTACTCAGCACTGATCGCCCCTCTCTTCATCTTAATAAAGTTGAAGAAAAAATTTGAAAAGGGAGAGGAATTTAATGAAGAGAAAATAGGAAGTGAATATTAGAAGTAAGAAAAGATTAAAGGACGAAGATAAAAGAAGAAATGTGAGTTTGAGGAGAATTCCAACAAGGTAAAAAGAGAGAAGAATGGAGGCTTTTAAATTTAAATACCTCTAATTTTTATTAAAAATGTGTAAAAGTGCAAAAATAAATTATACCGAATAAGACGGAATAAAGAGATAATTTGTGGAAGATATAATTTGTGGAGGGATATAAAATATATAAATGATCGGTTAATATTTTATAAACGATTAAAACGAAAAGACGCGCATATTTTTGTTATTGAGAAGGAAGAAAAATTTTATTTTTTTTTTGTTGGAAGGGTAAAAGTATGAAGATAATGTGCAGCTGGACGAGCATTCTCTCCTACACTGCCCTATTATAGAGCGCGGCGATTTGGGGCAGTGATCATTCCCCCTTCCTCCCCTACCCGTTTCAATGTCTTTTAATTTTCTTTATACTTTTCATTTTTAAATATAATTTTATTTTAAAGAATGTGATCAAAACCCGATAAGTATAGAGGAAAGGAATTTAAATTTCAAAGATTTAAAATTTTTTTACATGACCAGAACGATTTTGTAAGGTAAAATAGAGGGGAAAAAATAAAAGGTATCAGAAAAATGACAAAATATATTTTCTGTGTGGACCGAATACACACAGAAAAGATCCATAAGTATAGAGGAGGAATTTAAATTGTAAAGATTTAAAAAAAAATTTTTAAATGACCAGAACAATTTAGTAAGGCAAATGTAGGGGAAAAATAAAAAGGTACCAGAAAAAATGACAAAATATATTTTCTGTGGACCGATTCCATAAAGAAAACAGGCATAGAGGGCCGATAAGCAAAGACCGATAAGCATAGAGGAGGAATTTAAATATGAAAAATTTCAAAAAAAAAAATTTTTTTTAATGACCGGAACAGTTTAAAGTAAGGTAAAAGGAGCTGAAACTAAAAAGGTAACAGAAAATGTCTAAAATATTTTCTGTGTGGTCAATAAAAATTTTTCATTCAAAAAAAACTTTTTTTTAATAAAAATTTAAACTCACTCTCGTTCACAAGCTAAAGAAATTTTGGGAGGAATTCGTTTTTGTAGAGTTGTAGGTAAACGCCAAATAGCAATACAACCACTACAAAATTAAAATAAAAAATAATTTTTATTTAATTAAAAAAAAAACTAACGAATATGTAACAAGCAAAAGACGTCTTTAAAAAATAGAAAAAAAAATTATTTTTATAAAAAAAAAATTTTTTTATTTGTGCACCTGCAGTCAGGCAAAAAGGCAAGTCCGGTGACACAATCTGATGGAAGGCCAATAACTGTATAAATATAAAAAAATTTTTTATTAAAAATAAAATAAAAAGGAAAGAAATGACCAAAAACAAAACACAAATTTTATAAATTAAAGGAAAAAACAGTTTTAATGTTTGTTGTAGTTTTGTATGTTCAGTTGAGAATAAATAATCGAAAAATGTTGTTCCGGAAAATACAATGTACATATTTTATTTCCAGAAACTATTCAAAAAAGTGTGTTTAGTAGGGTTGTTGTTTAGTAGGGAAATTCCCCGTCCCCCGTGGCACTGCCTGCTCGAAAATTGTTCCCAGTGCCCCCCCCCCTCCGTCGGGGAACAGTCCTAGTGTTTTGACATGTATTCCTCAAAAAAGATCCTTCCGTAAATATACTCTCTAAAATAACTTATCAAAAACTATACTCCATTTTTGTATTTTTACCAAACAAAAACACAAATTGTCTTTTCCCCTAATATTTAAAACTAGAACCAAAACACAAAAACATTTAAAAAGTTTACCGCCACATCTGTTGCTGTTGCTATCATCATCAACACCATCCTCTTCTCCACACTCTTTTTCTTCAAGTAAATCAAAAAGGTGAACACTTCTATCAGAACAAAGGATTGCTGCTAAAGTACCAGAAGGGTCTACACAAATCTTTAAAAGAAATTTTTTTTTGAAAATTTTTAAAAATTTCAAAAAAACCTTTGTAATTCTAATTCCTCCCCCAAATTCTTCTTCTTCTTCCAAATTTTTTCCAAAAATTTTTTCTTTATCAAAAGTACGTAGTAATTGACCAGTTTTACAATTAATTTCACACAATGACCTATTTTGACATCCAATTAAAATATTTTTATTTTTACTTATAGCCACACAATTTGGAATTTTTTCATTTGGCCATTTATCTATTTGAACTAATATATTTGTTGAAAGATGTTTTATTGTTGTTGTTGTATTAAAAAATATTTCTCGAGTAATTAATAATTGGTCTCCACCAAAACTTATTAGTAAAAGTTGAGAATCCTGCAAAAATTTGTTTAAAAAATTTTCTTTTGGAATTTGCGGACAATTTTTGCGGATTTTATAAAATTGCGGTCAATATTTGCGGATTTGAAAAAAAAATTAAAAAAATGAAACTAAAAGGAAAAAAGGTACAAAAAGCTGTCGAAAAAATTAAAAAACAAAAAGACGTCAGCAAAAATGACCCGAAAGAAAAATCAAAAAGAAAGTCCGCAAAAATTATCCGCAAAAATCTCAACAAGCCCCCAATTTTAATTAGAAAATTCCCAACAAACCTCTTCAGGTTTGATAAACTTCAAAGTAATTACAGGCCCTCTATGTTCATCCAAAGTTAATAAATGAGCATAATTTTGTTCAACATCAAAAATGTGAATAAGGCAATCTCTACTAGCAGAAGCAAGGAATTGACCAATTTTTTCAAAATTTTCTTTGGTTGAGTGGTTGTTATAATCTAGACAAAGAACTTCTCCTTCATGAGCTTCAAATTCAACAAGTATAGAGCAATTAGGTGAGCGTAAATCAAAAATACTAAAAAATTGATTTATAAATTTTTCGGTCTCATTTAGGTCAAAAAATTATTTTTTGAAGTTTTGCGTCCCATTTTGGCCAAAAATTTAAAAAAATTCCAAATAATTAACCTTATATTGCCATTTTTACGACCACAAGCCAAATGTTCATTATTAGGAGAGAGACGAAGACAGCGCACACCCGTTGTAGATTCTAATGAGTCAGAAAGGAGACCTCCAAAATTTTCTAAAAAAATTTTAAATTAAAGAAATTTTTTAATTCTTCTTACTATCAAGTTGTTCAGTTAATAATCCACTTTCTGAACTTAAAAAGAGCACTCTTTTCAATTCAGGAGTTAGTAAAGGTGAAGAGGAGGAATTATTTGTTGGTTGAGAAGAAGACAAAGACCAAAACCGAACAGTTTCATCAGCTCCCGCTGTTAGGAAAAAATCGTCTGAACCTTGAATTAATGGTGAATCACAAGTTTCCAAATCAAAAATTGGACCAACATGGAAATGCTGAGAACTAGAAAGTTGAAAAATTTTTTAAACAATAATTTTTAAAAATAAATTTTCTGGGGAATTAGAAATTTTAAAACAAATATTAATTTAAAAAATATTTTTTTCTTTAAATTTTTTTAAATTTTCCAAAAATTAATTTCAAAAATAAATTTCCCCAAAAAATATAATCAAAACCAAAAAAAAAGAAAACCTTAGTTTAACTACTTGATGGATTAATGACTCTTCCTGTTGTTGTTTTCCTCCTTCTGTAACAGACAAATGTAATTGCCAATGGTAAAGGGAGCGGTCACTAAAAAATTTTCCTTTAATCTTTAATTTTACTAATTGATAGCACACACAAAAATATTTTAAAAAAATTAATCCAACCTATATAAGGCACTTAAAACACCCGAAGCAGAATGGAATACTAAAGAATGTACATCTGGATACCTGTTGAAAAATAAAAATTTATATAATTAAAAAATAGTGTTTTTAAAAGACAAAATAAATAGGGTAAAATGTATTTTCCGGAAATGTATTTTGTAAAAAGTTTTTTGGTATATGCTATTTAGTAAAGATGTGCGAGACTCTTGGTCTTGGTCTTGGAACCAATACTTTTCTTGGTTTTTTCGGTCTTGGCCTTGGGGTGTTTGTCTTGGTCTTGTCATGGTTTTATTTTTTGGTCCTGGTTTTTTGGCCTTATTGGACCTAGTGCTTGGCCATCCAAAAGTCTTGGTCTTGGAAAATTGAGTCTTGGTCTTGGAAAAATTTCGGTCTCGCACATCTCTACTATTTAGTACGATTAAAGACACAATTAATTTTAATGTGTTTTCCAGAAAATATTATCGTTGAAGTAACTAATTTTCCATTATGTATTTTCTTTAAGCATTTATCACAAATCAAATTCAAATAGTATCTTCCGGAAAACTATACTTAAATAATTAATTTTTCCCGAATACATTTTCGATAGTGCTTTCAAACAAATTTTACTCGAAACGTGTTTTACGTAGACTAAATTAAAAACCAGTTCGATAAAACGTATTTTCCGGAAAACTGTGCTTCTAAAATTAATTTTTCCGGAATGTATTTTTGATAGTGTTTTCACACGAATAATTTCTCAAACTGTGTTTTCCGGAAAATAACTTATAGGAAAAAATACATTTTTAATATTTAAAAATACCCACTTAAGCTCTTCATCAGGCGTAGACGCATTTATTGCTCTCTCAAATTCTGCCGAATACTTTTGTAGAGGTAAAGGTTTGGGTAATTCCATTATTAATTCCATACTTGCCGAATCAATTATTCTAATCATTCCATTCCAAAATCCAATAAAAATAAAATTTGAAAATTAATTCTGATATTAATTACAAAAAATCAGAAATATATTTTAAACATACAGAAATAATTCTGAAAATAAATAAACATTGAAGGAAATTAGCTAACAATAAAAAAATAAGGATCAGTTTTCTAGTAGAAAAATAAAAAAATGAGGGAAACCGAGAAGAAATGTGAGTAATGAAGACGTTTTTACCGGAAAAAAGTACTTTTCCTATTTTTTTTAACATTTATTTATTTTTCTCTTTATTTTCCCGTACTTTTGTATGCGCGCATTGGGGGAAGGAAAATCATAAGGGGGAAAATCAGTGAATGTTTGCTTTCAAAAATAAAATCGATTTATTAAAAGAAAATAAAAAGTAAAAAATTGGGGGTAGTGTTACGGATGCGCCGGATCACTTTTTAGAAAAATAAAAAGTTGAAAAAGAAAAAGCATTAAAAAAAAAACTTTAGCTAGCTATTTTATTTCTCACATTCCCCACTTCAATCACCAGAAAACCACGTATTTTATTTTAAAAATAAAGCGACATTTGCGGACCGACATTTGCTGACAAAATTGAAATTGATTGAAATTGGGGGAGATCGGAAGACGGTTTTATACCCAATGATATGAAAATTAATTCTGACATAAATTCTGATAAAAATTTTGAAAAATCAGAAATATTTAGAACGTAAATAAATATAATTTTGAATAGATTGCAGACATGTTTGAAAAAAAGATTGCGGACAAAATTTAAATTTATTTTTTAATTGGGGCAGATTCGCCAACTGTTTAAGGCCATTGACCAGACTTAAAAACATGTAAATATGTATATCTTAATGGTATATCTGGGTCAAAACTTGTTATAGTTAGCGAGTGTCCGCAAATATTTGTCCGCAAATATCTGTCCGCAAATATTTATCCGCAAATATTTGTCCGCAAATATCTGTCCGCAAATATCTGTCCGCAAATATGTGTCCGCAAATGTTTGTCCGCAAAAATCTGTCCGCAAATTTTTGTCCGCAAATATCTGTCCGCAAATATTTATCAGCAAATATTTGTCCGCAAATTTTTGTCTGCAAATGTCACTCTATCATTTTTTCAAAATTTTATTTTTCTTTTAATAATCTCATTCTCAGTTAATAAATTTTGTTTGAACCAGTTGTTTTAATATTTTTTTAAAAATCAGGATGGTAAAAGAAAAGGGAGTCAACCCAATAAATTTAACTTTTTTTTTCAACCCTTTTCCCCATTAAAAAATTTTTCTTACCAATGCATATCCGTTCAAGTCTGACCAAAAAAAATTCTTCCAAAAAATTTCTTCTTTTTTAAATGCTTGAGCAACACATCCGTTCTTTATATATCTAACTTAAAAAATTTTTTTTAATCACAAAAAAAATTTAAATTTAAAAAACCTGATTAAATACACCTCCTTACATGGTCGTCCAACATTTATTTTTATTTATTTGATTTTTATTTCCAATAAAAACACGTTCGTCTAAACAAGTGGTTCTTTTCTATTAAAGGCCTTTGTTGGTTTAATTATACTTGCTAAAAAATATTTGTAAAAAATTCTCTTTGTAATAAAAACAATGCATAAGTGCAATTCCTCTTGAAAACAAGCTATAATTTTCATGAGGGGGAAAAGGAAGGAAGAAAATATGAAGAAACTGAAGAGAATTAAGAAAATGAAGGGAAACTGAAGGGAAGGCAAGAGAAAAGCAAGGGATTTTCATGAGGAAAGGAAGGAAGAAAAATGAAGAAAATGAAGGGAAAATTGAGGGAAAAAGGAAGAAAACAAAGGGAAGGGTAAGGGAAAGGTGTACATGTATTTGCTTCTAATAAAAAAAATAAAATAAATAAAAGGGGCCAACCTAAAAATAAAAATACATATATCGATTATGTCCCCAAAAATGCTGGTTTTTAATAAATATAAACAAGGTAAAGGGCCATAAAAATATAAAAATAATTATGATGACCAGGTGGGCAATTTTTCAAGTGTTTTGGAAAGAAAAAAAATAAAAAATTAAGGGAGAAGTAAAAGAGAGGGGATTTTAATAATTAAAAATATTTAAGTATTTTTGCATCGCAAAACGAGAAAAAAATTATTAAATTTATTAAATTTAAATTTTTGTTTCAAATATTTTATTGTTTTAATAATAAGTGTTTAATAAGTATAAATAGTAGTCAATATATTACACAAAAAAATAAACAAAAAATAAATAAAAAAGTGAAAATTAAATCAAAAAATATATTAAGTAAATATAAAGTCAAATATTGATAACATTTCGCACTAAAAAATTTCAAAATTTCTGAAAATATTGGGATATCTTTACTTAAAAGAATCAACAATTTTTCTGTAAAATTGTTGCTTTTTTAAAAGAATTTCAGAAATTTTATAAAAATATTACAACTCTGAAACAGCCAAACCTCCTATATTTTTAATTTTTTAAGCAACAAAAATCCTTGGAAAAATTAGTGGGATGACGTTTATATTAACTAAAATAAACTTAATGGGCAATAGATAGTAAAAGCCGATTTTTTACCTATCCCTTATTTTATCCTAATCCAATCCCTTTAATTCTACTTCCCAAAATATTTGACTTTTCTCCTCAAAACATTCAAAAAAATTCATTTTTAATCATCGCTTACATGGCTTGGATGTACCAAAAGAATAGCGTTCTCATTATTACCATTAGCTCCTTCCTCCTCATTATCATCACCTTCCCCTTCATCCATTCGAATAATTACTTTATTTCTTATTAATTTGGGTATTATACGCTCAATTTTTGTTTTATGTAATTTATAATCTTCTTCTGTTTGTATATTTGGTTCCATCATTTCTAAATACCTGCAAAAAAATTTTTTTCAATTACAAAAATAAATTCCGAAAAATTAAAAATTCTTAAAAAAATTCTGAAATAAACATATCAGCGCCAAAGAACCTCATTTGTACATCACCCCTACTTTCAGAAAAAAATTAGACGTTAAAGTAAATGAAGTAAAAGTAGAATCTGATTGTAAGTAATAAAATATTCATGGCCAAAAAATAAAATAAAAAAAACAGCCAAATATAATAACTAGACCAGAATTTATAAAATAATTTTCAGAACTTTATCATTCAGAAAATTGCCGGTAACTACATTATTACCCAGAAAATTTGAAAAAAAAAACCAGAAAAAAATTTTTCTTTTAAATAGAAACATTCTAAATAATTTCAGAAATATTATTTAAAAGTTTCAGAAACATTCTTTAAAAAATAAATTTCCTAAAAATAACAGAAATAAATTTAAAAATAATTCACCCTACCATTCAACAAGCTGAGATTGTTTAACACCTTTCCAGTCTTCCTCCTCTCCATGTAACGCCTCTTCTCTTCGCATATGAACAACTAACATTTCAGTAATTCTTCCAAATTCAACATCAGACATTGTTAAATGTATTGGGTCAATATCCATCCTTTCTTCTACCAATTCTTGGCTATTATTTGTTAAATCACTTAATGGGTGGTGATGGGAAGATAATGGCGTAAATTCATCCTTTAAAAATTGAAAAAATAAAAAGAATGTAAATCGACATTTTCGGACAGAAAAATTTTTTGGCGGACAACCCCTAAACTTTCTCTACACTGTGTTTACAGAAGTATGACCGTTCTGCCTCTAATCTTTCATCGAATTTCGACAATTTTTGCGTCTATCCCTTCGTTTTTCAAAAAATGTTTCGGCCCAACCTTACTAGATGTCCATCCACAGATTTAAAAAATAAATCTTCTAAAAAGGAAAAAATAACGGTCAAAATCCTATGGGATTACAAATAAGGACAAACAAAAATTAGAAAATGACCAAAAAAAATCTTGAGAAAATTTTTTTGGAATATTTAAAAGCTTAAGATAAACCTTATAAAATTTAAAAATCAAAAACTTACATCATCCTCCTCTTCCAAACTTATTTGTTTACTTCCCATACGAACAATAGTTTCAGAAAGTAATTTTGTTGCTTTAGTAACATGTTCAGGAAGAACCTTTTAAAAATTATTTTGAATTTTCAAAATTTTTCTAAAAAATTTCCGTACCTCAGGAGCACATTTTAAACGAGCATATGCTTCAGACAGACGAATTAATGATTCCAATTGACGAACTTTAAAAAATATTTTTTGTCATAAAAATATAATTTTAGTATAAAGAATTCAAAAAAATTTTTAGAAAAATTCAAAAAAATTTTTAAAAAATTCAAAAAAATTTTTAAAAAATTAAAAAAAAATTTAAAAAAATTACAAAAAATTTTTTAAAAAATTTTAAAAAATTTCAAAAAAAAAAATTCAAAATTTTTCCTTAAAAATTCATACAAATTTCAT